CGCGTTTAATAGACATTCCCTCTCAGTAGCGGGTACAGGGTTGTGCAGATCTTTTAAAAAATTTTCAAAAATCCTCCGATATACCTTTAATTTGTGTGTAACCCACATGGACATAAAGGGATGGGGCCTTACTGTTACCAAACTTATAATGTAATTCCAGGCCCCTGGACTTTTCTTTATCATCCGTAAGAAAGAAACGGCAAAAAGAAAACAGTTACATGTGTGAAGATGCTCGTATCTACAAGAGGAGAATATCTGAAACATTGAAGCATTTTATGTACCACCACAGACTGTGAGATATGTGGAAAGAGTGTTGCAGTGTTTTGAGTGACACTATGCTTTTGTGATAAAAGAAATCGATTTACTGCTAGACTTTCACTCATCTTTACTGTGTGTGTTGAACTTTTTTTAACCTGCCCAGTGATGATAGAAGCATGAAAACCAATATCCACTTTATGAGTATAACATCCAAACTTCACACCATGTCATCCAGCTTCTGGCTCCATACATTGAAACATCCTCTCCGTATCGTATCCTTCTCTGTACTGCGTTCATGAGTCGTAGCCCACATTTAAATATATTTCTTAAATATATGCATTGAAATCCCTGATAAAATTAGCAGTTGTGTTTAGAAAGCGTGTGACTTTAAAAACTTGATTTGTGCCAAATCCTCCCTCCGAAATCCAACGCCAGTGGATTTCCCCTCTTTTTTAGACATGTGTTTACTGTAATGAATTCACATCCTGTGAGGCAGAGAACACAGAAGACTGACATCTCTGGAGAGCATCATGACTAGACCTTGACAGAGGATTACAAATGACCTTGATACATTGTTTCATCCGAATTACAGCAATGGACAATAGCGTAGAAGCCAATAGAGAATATGGCTAAGCTGAAGAGTTATGATCACAGAGGGCTATAGCAGACCACCGACAAATTGTTTTATGGTTGTATCTGTCAGTGTTATGTACTGCTGTCCTGGATCCTGAATGTATATACAGATAAGACCTTCATGCTTTGACCTGTGAAGGAGTTCTTTATTGAAAGCTATAAAGGCAAAGAATTGCCCAGTTAGCTATCTTTTTTCTGATCATGCACACTTTCAAGCATATACTGTATCTGTGATGAGCTACAGTTTCAAACAGTCATTGAAGCTTACCTTTCTCACCGCGGTTCTTTGAAAATGGCTGCTCGTAAAAGAAAAAGTGTCTACAAAATGTATGAGAAGAAAAAAGAGGCAGATATCTCCCGGAATGCTTTGCACGGATAGCTTTCCTTGCAAAGCATAATGGGATTTGCTGTCCCAGCGGCCCACTGTCGGCTTAAGGCTGGTTAATGCTCGGAAACCAGGTTGTATGCGTGTGTTTCGAAGTTAACGGAGATGCCCTGCCCCTTCTGCAGACACCTCTCCAAAATTGTAGGTGACCGCAGACAGTGCCGCAGACAGGAGGCCTCTGACTGGTCAAACTTACATCCGCTCTATACTATGCATATTTACTGTTTGGTACCTTACTGACAGCGATTGTGGAAAACGACTTGTGAAGATGGACCAGCTCCATTGTCGCACAAACTTGCCCCTTGCATTTTTCCACTTCCTAATCGGCTTGGCCTTATCTAGACCCACAGCTACTGTAGTTCATTTTGCTCCTCAACGGGTAGCAAAAAGCACTGATCGTCTATCCAATCCAATCCTCCACAATACCTTTAATGTTGTTAGAAGGACCAAATCAACTTAGAATGGAACAAATATTGCTTGATAGATTGTAAGAGTTACACACCCAAAATACATGTATTACAAAGGTTTACTATAAGATGTAGTAAACCATTGTATGTGTTTCTACAAGATATTATCAGAGGGGAACTTCATACAAGCACATTGTATTCAGATCTTTTATTTCTTTTTAGACAATGTTTCTTTCCTTCTATTGTACAGTACGTATGTCACAATAAGAAATCACTTTGTTTGAAACTAACTGCATATTTAACTGCCAATGCTTCCTACAGCTTCATTTTGTCCACTGTGTCACACATCAATAAAAGAATGTGACCAAGCCATCTGCGAAGTAGGTAGAGCTAACAAGCAGTAAAGCTGTGATCGAAGCACAGGATGAAAGGCATACATAGATTGTGTGTTAAGGCACACTAATAAGTCAGAGCGATTGATAGGCAGCGAGGCAGTATAATTGGAGCACATGTCAGACACAGAGCGCTCTCTGCTGCTTGAAGTTTCCTCAAAGTAAAACTATATGGCAGCCTTTTTCTGCTAACCTGGGAGTTAGTCTGCATAAGCGACAGATTTCCCCAGTGAGCTATTAGTTACGCTTTAAACTGAACATTTTCTACCACCTGCTGCTTCTGTGCATTTGAATGTGCTTTTATAATTAAGAGATTCAGCCCTGCTGATAAAGGTTGCTAAAAAAAAAAAGAAACATTTGTAAGATCCTGCACTGCACTGAAATAAAGACAACCATCTGAATTAAGGTTTAATGCCGGCTGCCCTTTTCGCCATCACTAGTCAATACCTAGTGGCAGCACTGTCATGAAGAAATATATTAGGAGCTCAATCAAAAAGAGTGCTTCTTCTATTATCTTCTATTAACTAAGCAGGCAACCCTCAATAGAAGACATAAATAATACCTCAACGTATTACTGCTTTGCTCACTAATGGTTTTTTTTTCTTTTGATTTTTCACATCATTGTGGAGGAATCTTATCCTTACGGCAAGGCCTCAGTTTGCAAATATCCATCTCTGCAGAGCTTCTACTACTACAGTACAGTATGTACTATGAACAACTACTATGTAGTCTTCCATTAGCTCTCTACAGTGCAGATATTTTTATATCTAAGGGAAACATATTCCAGGACATTACATTTTTTTTTTTTGTAATATATACCTTCTTTTTATATTGTCTGTCGTATTTTCATATTTAATGGCATCTTGCTTTAACTCTACTACTGGAACCAGAATTTCCCTGAAGGAGTAACAATAAATAAATAAAGTTGAGTCTAAGTCAAAGTGTAACTATGTAAGGAGGGGTTTAGAAATGTGACTTTCCCATTGCAAAAAAATAAAAATAAAATCTGTACAAAACATAAAAGAAATAAAAGGCTTTAAGGTTCAAGATTTATGTTTGCTTGTTGGTTTAGCAAATTGACAAACTGCTGCTCCTTAGGTCTAAAAGCTAATGTCCATGGATCTGCCTTTGTCTAGGTCGAACAAACTTGGTTCCATGAGAACAACCTATACTGCATATCACTCAAAATAATGATTCAAGGCGCTCTATTAGGTGATGCAAATTCGTACCATTTAACAAACCTAAAGTTATTGGTTCCAGGATTATTTAGTAATATTTAATTATGTGTGATGCAAAGTAACCTAAAATTCTTGAGTTCACTATAAGGCTGCCTTGTGAGCTTACAAGGACGGTCTTTCAAATAACCAATAATTTTAGAATACTTTACAATGCTCATAAAAATTGCTCCTTGCTAGGATTACCTCCTTTAATTTTCGGACCAAGCCACAGAACAAAATAGCATTGCAGGTAATTCTATGTTTAAAATAGATAGTGGAGTTACAGTAGTTGTTGCTCAAGTTCACACAGATGAAACCATAAGTTATCTTGAGACGAAGATCCATGATCACAGCTTTATCTTTGTCCAGGTTATTTTGACCATGTAACATGCATGCATGTTTGTTAACAAAAACTGTTTCTGCTCTTTAAGTAAATGCAATTAAGGTAATAAAACCAATTAATTTGTCTTTGGGTTCCTAAAATGTTTTGTTTTAGTTGAAAATAACTTAATTCAATGCAGGAACAAATAAAGCATAATAGAATTATGTTGAACCAACCGAAAATATTTAAATTTGGTCTATGTATTTATTTTCATTTGAAAGTGTTTTAAAAAGCTGAGTTGAACAGACGTAAAATAAATAATGGTGAATGGTGTAATAAAATTACACCATTCAGATAAATGTGAATTTGGTTCAGCAAGCAAAAATGTACTGGATGGAAAACCTGCCATTAATTAAATTGAGTTAATCCAATGAGTCATTTTTATGACTGAGTGTACAACAGATGCTGGGCTTCCAGCTGTATCAAGTAGACTGCAAAGCAAAAGCTCTCTGGAAAAATAGAGGAGGTGAAACCTGCTTTTATATGAATGAATGTTGGCTTAATTATGTCACAGCATTACAGAAGACGTGCAGTCCTCACCTAGAGTCCTTTATAAGACTGAACATCTAGGGAGAACTGACCGGATTATTGAAGAAACGGGCATAGAGGAATGCTGCTCTCATTTGGTTCAAATGTCTGCTGGTTTATTAAGAGGCAACTTTCCAAATATAATAAAGACTGACAAATTCTTTCAAAAAGAGGTGGCCTTCTCTGGCAGTGCATTCAAAGAAGCCAAACTTGTCAAGAGGTTTAATATTTAACACGATACCTGAGACCCTGTATAGTCTGAGATCGAGATTTTGCAATTTCTCTGATTATTGCGTTACCTGACCGTGGTCATGTCTGCTCTTTTAAATTAGTTCAAATGGTGCTTAACCTTTTTGAGTGTGTAATGTAGTGGACTTCCAGATCGTTTGAAATTTTCTCAAATTAAAGGCTTGTATTTTCATAAATGTGTCGGTTGGACATTATCTTAGATTGATGGAGCATAGAAAATTTTTCTCAATGTCATTTCTTGTCATAAAAGTCCAAATTGCAGGGAAGCTTATGTAAAAAAAGAAAAAGCTAACTAAAAGAAGATCAAGGCATAGGTTCAGAAGGGAAACAGCATAACATGAAAAGCAAGAAGAGAATATGTAAATGAATAAAAGCATATCTAAAGTAGAAATACAGAAGAGGGTGAGTAGTGCTGAGTAGCTGATAAAGTGTTTTCCATATATCTATAAAGGAGTTCATAATATCTGTAGAAAAGAGTGTAAAAATCCATCTCCCTACAAAGTAGACCTGAAAGTGAAAATAAGGTTAAATGTTTGGTTGGGACATTACCCAAAAGCTCCATGGCATCATCCTCGTCTTCGATCTCTTCTTCTACGACAGAAGAAGCAGGACTGTTGACCGAGTCGAAGGAGTCCTGGGACAACATGGCTGCCAGCAGCTTCTTGTGATGCTGCTGTTGCTCTTTTAGCCCTTTGCTTTTTGTTTCCATTTTCAAGCTATGGAAAACAGAAAGATAAGGCAAATAACCTTAGAACAACACAATGACAGACAACTGATTAATGTCATGCTCAAGAAAATACTTCAATTGTTTTTTTTTCTTGTTTTTTCAGCTTTTTTTATTTTCATTACACTGTTACAAGTATAGAGCAATGAAATGAATTCTCTGCATTTAACCTATACCCTTGGGAAGCAGTGGGCTGCCATTGTGCGGCACGTGGGGAGCAGTGTAGGGTTAAAGGGGAATTTCGTTTTTTTTTACATTGGGCCCTTGATTTTAAGTTATTACATCATGTTCTACTCATCCATATGAGTTTTTTGTCATTTGGAGCTGTTCTGAAGATATTACGTTAGGTTATATCTAAGTAACGTCTTCCTATGGGCAACGACTTGAAGGCACAAACTAAACTGTTCATAATTTATTCTTTATGGTACGCCAGCATTCATAACGTAGGCGAATCACTGTCCCCCAGACATCCACGGTTATATTTTTTATATTTATATCTTTTAAAAACAAAGTGCCGCTTGTATGACGTCATCCACGCGCCGGACTGGAGTGTTATTTTTTTTATTTAAAAAAAAAAAACTTTATTTAACCAATGTACATTACACCAGGCAGCTACGCTCTACCTCTTATATTTTCGGGTAGCTAATCTGAATCGTTTGATTACATTTGGAGAGCGAGATCATCTGTGGTACTGTAGTAGCACTAGACATCTTCCAGGCATGTGAGTAAAACTAGCAGCAGTTAAGCGGACAGGATGAATGAATGGTAGCCGGCGCACACAGATGACGTCATACACACACCGCTTTGCTTTTAAAAATAGAAATATAAAAAATATAACCGCGGATGTCTGGGGGACAGTGATTCGCCTACTTTATGAATGCTGGCGTACCATAAAGAATAAATTATGAACAGTTCAGTTTGTGCCTTCAAGTCGTTTGCCATAGGAGGACGTTACGGAATATCTTCAGAACAGCTCCAAATGACACAAAACTCATATGGGTGAGTAGAACATGATGTAATAACGTAAAATCAAGGGCCAAATGTAAAAACAGCGTTCCCCTTTAATCGCCTTGCTCAAGGACCCAGTGTGTCAGTCCATAGGAGTGGGGCTCGAACTCAGAACCTGCAGATTCTAGGTGCAATGCCCTAACCACTAAGCCATCCCTCCCTTTTTGTAGTGCTACAATGGGTTTTTTGGTGGCAGGGGTTCCAGAAAATTCATCAGCAATTGTTATCTAGCAGGCTTAATATTTGATAGAGTCAGAATTTCTAATAAAAAGTAAAACATGGCTTTCATCTAAATAAGGTGCAGATTCAGGTGACTGCAGTCTTTGTGGACTAGAGATAAAATACAGGTATATTCAGGTATGGCACAAGTAGACCGCATATCCTACTGACAACTACAACAGAGAAGGGGCAGTCAGTCATACCGCAGTATGCTAGAGAACAGTAGGACACATGGAGGAAGGAGACAGTAAATGAGGGATGAGATGCCCCTGTTGTTGCTGACTTCTTGTTCACCTGGACCTTGTTTTTGTTTCGTTATTTTTCAAGTTCTAATTTTAGTTAATTTTAATTTTTCAAATTTGAAGTCTAACTGTTTATATTCAACCTCTGCCTTCTCTCTGCATGTATTATTCATTCCACTTCATCATTTCTGACAGTCTGTTATTAATGTTCCACTTTTCATCTTTAAAGTCTTTGCTTGTCACCTGCTTGATTTATAATTCCACGGCTGGAGTTTGTAATCCCGAGAGGCTGCAGCTCTGTACATTCACCATTCTCCACAGAAAGCACTTATGTCATTCCTTTTTACTGTAGCACACATTCACATTTCTGTCAACATTCGTACTCAAAAACAAAAGAAATTGATCTTTAATTAAAATTGTGAATACATTTTTAAAAAAGCATTTTTTTTCCTGCATTATACTTGATAAATGAATATTTCTATCTCTGTGGATGAGGGTTGTGGATCATAGAGCTGCAAGAGTATTCATTAGATCCTAATCTCATTTTAATGACGTATTTACAGTTAGTGGAAAACGGTCAAAAGATGACTGGTGCTGTATTTTATCACACCCACTGTGTGGTAGTTTTGCTAATTAAATTGGTTACCTTGATTCTGGACAAGTCATTATCCACATATATTTCACTTGCATGAACGTGGGGGTCATTTTTGACAGAAGCAATTAATGATCGAGACTAGAAACCAATTAGGAAATTTTCACATTATAAATCAAACTAAGAAATTGTTCCTAAGTTTTTTATAATTTAGAAACAGGAAACAACATAGTCGTATGAATTAAAAAATAGGAATTTTGCACATCAGATGAGAAAATCTCAGCTATTACATCTTATATTTTATTAACTCCTACTGTAGATATGATGCCAGTGTTACATTCTAGCACAAGATCATCATGGCCCACAGTCCTCTTTGGATACATTCCCACTGCCAGTCCTACTTTAATCTGATTTTTTTTTTTTTTTTGGTTTTGTGTGTGTGAATTTTTCCATTACCTTTTAAATGTTGCCCATATGTAAAATCATTGTGAAATTTTTTATACGCTCAAAACTGACATACATGCTCATAAGAGCAATGAGAGCGTGATCACCTGCAGCACAGCAAACACAGAGAAATATGTGGTGTGGTTTAGATGCACAAGCGAAAACATTCCTATCATCAGCGGCTGCAGAATGGAAAACATATAAATATAAGAGTGAAGCTCTTTATGGTGGCGTTTTAGGGAGATAACTGCCATTTTATAACAACAAACTGGATCCAGAGACGGCCAGCAGGGATGTTAACTTTACAGAGAATTAACTAGTTATCTCAGGAGTTATCTTCATAGGCAGAAGACTTGATGTAAACAAGAGCATCAGACTGCAGGGGGCGGCAGATCATCAATTGCTGGGCTGGAGGATGCACAGTTACTTTCCATCACTTGATGGAAAGTAACTTAAGTTACATAGAAGTGAGATTCAGGACCACATCTGAAAGTGGCCCAAATATGACTTAGAAAAAGTCACATTTGGGCAAGAATTGTGTGTTCCCACTTGTTTTAAACAGCCTGCCCTGATCAGAAAAAAATATACGTTTGGCCTGCAGTGGGAACGAGGCCTATGTGGGCCCTTAGCTACAGCTCATCTAATTCAAACTATTGCATTACCTCCTTATAAAGCCATTAACCACTACAGGGTTGTTAATTGTCCACTCATCTAGATCAGGTGACAGCAGGGAGACTCCTACAACATGCAGGACAGTGAGCTCCGAGGATCAGCATAGTTCTGTCATAATCACCACGGACAGAAGACTTACATAAAAGCTTTGAGATAAAGCTTTCCACATGGAAAATGTGGAGGATTTGAGACCCTTAGTGAAAAAACCTCAGATGTTGTAATATGGATGTGGTCTCTTTAGGTTCAGCTAGGATTTTCAGAAGATATCAAATCAGTACAAGTTTTTTTCTGCTTTGTTAGAGTGATAACTATTAGCTTCTCTAATTTATATCTAGAGGATTCAACATTTTCAGTTGCAGTCCTTGGTTACAGGAGTAAGAACACATTCAATGTCCTTCTTTACTTCACAGAATGGAAAATACCCCAAAACTCAGACAGTCTTCACTGGTTCTTTAGTTCACAAAAAGCATACTGTGTAAGTGAGCCCATCTATTTCACCATGTCCCAGTTTGCGAAGTGATTTTTCCTTAAAATCCACAAATACAGTAACATAATGACATTATCCAAGACCAGTGCCTGATGTAGGGTTTTACATCTTTTCACGTTACAAAGTAACCTGGCATAAGCCCGACTGAAGCCATTTAAAATTCTAATTGAACTACATTAATCGATCTGGAAATCCTCGTGTAGAAAGTGTTCGCAAAAGTGAGGGACATTAAGAGCAGTCCTTTATGCTATTGGATATTTGTATTGAAATACTTATACCCAAATACTATTAAAACCAATAGACATATGTTGACTCTGAGATTTACACAGTCTAACATAAATTAGGTCCATTGCTCCAGTATGTTCAAAAGTATCTATTAAAACGAATTATTAGAACTTGACTTTAATTCCGTTTGAGGAGCCTCTTGAAATGTCATGTTTGTAATTAAAGACAGGAGGGAAATAAAGGTCCATTTGAACAAAAATCACTTAAATCTTGGTAGGTTTGCAGTCATAAAATACATAAAGTAAAAGTCATAAAAGAAAAGATTATTTTTCTCTTTTATAAAGTACTTCTCTCCTTTGTAGCCTTTGTTAATTTATGTATTTTCAAAATGTTGCTGCCATTAACCTTTTCTACTTTTTGTTTTATCTTTCCTGATGAATATGACTCGTATTTGGCTGCATTTTTTTTCCAATAAAGGCCGTTGGCAAAGGAATTGCTGCCATCATCGTCCTGCACTATTTGCTTTGCTTTTTCACAGTATTTTGACTTACTGTTCTATTTGCCCTTCATCATCCAAAAATAATAGCAAATGATTAACCTACTGATGGAATGCTATCCTGGTATTCTTTTTACCGTTTTTAAAATAGAATGTACTCTTGTCCTTTCTACCCCATTGGATCGCTGGAGATTGCCGTACTTCACAAGTTTGGTTCGGCTAAAAGAAGGTTGGTCTCCACACTCCCTATGTGCTTACTTTAATGGGAGATTGCTGAACAGTCAAATAACCAGATATTTTTTTTTCACTCACTGCAATTTAAACATCAGAGGAACTGACCTACTTTATTATGTTGTTGGTTAATATTGTTGGCTGAACTCACTTGTTGTTCTTGGATATATTTAGAAAATATTTTTGGATGGATTATCTGTAAAAATTAGATTGATTGAATAAACCTACAATTAAATTTAATCATCTCTGCTTTTAAAAAGCATGCCGACAAAAAAAAAAAAAAAAAAAAAATATATATATATATATATATATATATATATATATATATATATTTGGGTTTTTTTTTCAAATAATAGTATTTTAATGAAGACAAATAAAAAAAACACCTATAACCTGATAACGTTCTGACTTTTAGGATAAATAAATAACTGAAGTTGAATCTGTCTTAAGGCATGAATTGGTTAAAAATATCTTAAAAACAATACATGATGCTTCGTTGTAAAAAAAAATGTAAGAGCAGATAAAAAACATTGACAATGACAATAACAAAAATTGTATTCTCAGATCAAAAGAAGAAAATGACGTCAGGCAACAGTGGAGCTTTCTAGAAGGTTTGTGTCCCAATCACACAGTGAATAAGACCAACAGCATTACGGAAAAAATAATAATACCAGCAGTAAAGTATGACGTTTTGCTAATGAAAGATGTGGACAACTTGCCACAATAACTTGGAGCATGACTTCTGCTTTCTTTCCAAAAGTCCTGAAAAAGAATGTCTAGCTAAGAGTTTATTGATCTTAACATCAAGAGCACTTTAGGTTTGCAGCAGAGCATTTATTCAAAGAAAGTCTGTCCCTGAACTGCTGTACATGCTATAGTAAAACAGCCTGAAACTTGCTGTATTGACTTAAAAATCTTCCTATGTGGTCATAGAATAGCTTTCTCCCCTTAATACATTAAAACATCCAAGGCGCTTTTATATCTACTCGATAATGTTTGTATCAAATTTTGATATTTTATGATTTACAGCTTCAGAAAAGGGAGAACAAATGTAAATACTTTAACAGCACTGTATAACTGGATTGAAAAGAACCTTTTTGGTCTAGTAAAGTGAATTAAAATGATATTCCTTTCAATTGTGTCTGTATTAAAAAAAACTGAACCCAAAAAAGAAGCCTTTAAAGAGTTCAACGGAAGATGGGGACTTCTCTGGAACGAAGGGACGCTTTACTAGGCGCAAAATTCCTTCGGCGTTGAGGGCAGAGAAATTAGGTTAGCTCTAATGTGAAATTGGGTTGAGGCTCTATCATGGCAAGCATGTTGGATTGAGCCTTTGAAATGGGATTATCAGAGCCCTTCAGATGGGCAGTCCTCAGGCTGGCACAGTCATCAGCCCACTTTCTCCTGTTTGAATCACTATCAACTCATTGAACTTTGTTAGGTTTTCAACTTCTTTTCCTCACCGTACAGATCAGATCACTAACCTCCGAGCGGGGCTGTTCTCTCCGCTCCAGCATGCTTCGGTTTTAGTTCGAGGGACCGGAGGGTGCAGCATCTCAGCGGCCAGCGGGTCTGCGTCGTTGTCATCACGACCAACCCACTCGCCCACCACTCGAGGGCGCAGAACTGAATTGTAGCCTAGAATGTGCTAAAACAATAACAGAGATGCATTGAAATGCAACACAGTCCATTTTTTATCTATTTCAAGATAAAAAAGTTCCTGATAACAGCTTAGTTTTTAAAAGCACTGCAGTCAGAAACATTTACTTCTGCAGAAGCTCAATATGAAAGGCAAACTATCTCAGCTTTTTGATTACATTTTTCCATTGAACTCCACAAAATTTGCTGGAAATGTTGTGTTCCATTTAGCAACATTTCAGAAAACATGCTAGGCTTCTAATCACAAGTCATAGTTTCCAAATACAGCTGCTCACTGCACTGCTTCACTTTTGTTTGACACAGAATTGGACAAAGACAGGACTAGAGGACAGTCTTCTGGATGAGAAGAACGGCAAAGCTGCAGAAAGTAATGTAGGACATGCTTACTGGGATATCACATTGATATAAATTATCCATAACCCTGCCAGATTTTGGTTTTTAAAGAATTTCAATCCAGTAAGTTTGTTTATGAGAAATGAAAAATACCTCCTCATTTTAAATAAATTTTATAAATCAATTTTTGTTCATGTTAAAAAATTGTATCTGAATTATGTTTTGTCTTGAATGGAAAATTAATATAAGCAGTGTTTCAGCAACCAGATCCCTCATTGAAAAGCTAAAAAGCCTTTTGAATGTTTTAACTGGTAGTTTAACGGTTTATCTTAATGAGGAGCACAAAGTATTGGAGGTTGGAAGGCCTACTTTCCATCACCTTAATTTATAGTGCTCTCTGTAGATTTTCAGATTTATACGGAAGAGGATTAGGGCCACTGAAAAAAAAAAAAAATTTTACTGATTTTTACATTTTATTTCAGTATAATATGGGGAAAAAAAGTCAGAATTCTGACTTTAATCTCAGAATTCTCACTTATTTCTCATAATTCTGACTTTTTTTCCTCATAATTCTGACTTTAATCTCAGATTTCTGACTTTAATCTCAGAATTCTCCCTTTTTTCTCAGAATTCTCACTTTAATCTGAGAATTCTCAATTTTTTCTCATACTTCTGAATTTTTTTTCTTATAATTCTGACTTTAATCTCAGAATTCTGACTTTTTCCTCAGAATTCTGACTGTAATCTCAAAATTCTGACTTTTTACTCAGAATGTCTGACTTTTATCTCAGAATTCTGACTTTTTCCCCCATATTAAACTGAAATAAAATTTAAAAATCAGTTAACTACTGTAATCAGCTTCCTTAGATTAACATCAGATTTGAATCAGGATTTTAATGGGGCCCCATCAAAAAGTTAATATTTGAGTCAGAAGAAAAATGGAAGGAATTATTAGGACAATAGTCTATGTCTACCAGGGGTTTTAACCATTTTGAGCCTAACTCTACCATAGAATTACAGTTCATCATGCAAAAAGGGTCTCTGGTGGTCTGATAACCACTTTATGATACTCACTTATTCCTATTTGCTATCGCATAAGGCATGCAATAACATTCAGCTGTTTAATATCTACATACCTGGTCAAGCTCATCAGAGATGGCAATGCCTGGAAATAAAATAGGAGAATAATTGAACAATCTGACTCTTTCCTATGGTAAAGTAAAAATGACTTGTACTTATAAAGCTTATATACTTTTTCAAGCTAGGAGACTTGACCAAAGCACTTTACACTACATTCAGTCATTCATCCATTCACTGAAACACTAATGGTGGCAAACTACATTGTAGCCACAGATGCCCTGGGGCTCACTGACAGACAAGAGCATGTGAGATTTGCAGGTCCACACATTTTTTTTTCTCTCTAAGATTTGAAACAAATGAGGATTAATATCATCTCTATAGCTTTTCAAAGCTAATAAAACTTTAATCACATACTAACGGTATGAGGAAAATATAAAATTTTACCCATCTTTGCTGCAGTTCTCAAACACAGTTAACTTTCTACCTTTAAGTTACATTTATACCTTCCTTACAATCCTTCTTGGTTCCTGGCTACTCATTCAGCCTCATTTGTCATGTTTACAGTTCTTCCCAGCATCTTAATACTAATGATAATAATTAGTAATAGTAATTTCTCTGGAATTTTGAACAGCCGTTTTTCCAAAGCGACTTTCTAACTTGTGAAAATCAACATCTATCTTACGTGAATGATAATTTTTTTTCTGAAAAGCTGTAATCAAATTCACATAAAAGTATTTGAACATGCTCAAAATGAACTTACACGTTAATTGTAAGTTACTCATAAGTCAGGGTGTCCAGCTTATCCAACCTGTATCATCTGCATCATAGGGTGAGCATGAAGGTGAGTGTGATGTATCCCCCCTGTGTTCATGCCTACAACCATCAAACTTCCTAGCAGACATGATACTGAATTTGCATTATGCTCCTGTGCGTTATGCATAAGTTAGGCTGTCGTTGGACATAAGTTCTGGACTCATTATGAATGAGTATATATATATTGCACTATATAGTGGATAAATAGCTTTAATATCTTACTATCTTTTTTCCGAATTTTTGCTGTTCCACTGCAGCCCCGCTTGTTTTCTTGTGGTGTCTGAGCTTCTCTAAACTGTAATCATCTCTCCTTTCATACATCACAGGAAAGTCCTTGCTAATTGTTGCAATGCTTAGAGAGATATTTACCTCTTGAAGTTTGGCTAGTATAAATTTGTGTAACCTTTTGGCTAATATTTGTGTTTTGTCATAACAATAAGTAGGAAAAAAAAAACTGTACATGGCTCTAGTGTATAGACTCATGCAAACATCCTCATATTCTCTGGTTTTCACATTTTGCATATTTTACCTTTATCTAAAGATCTTAAGCTTCAGTCTCACAATCATGCAGAAAGATGCAAAGATAAAAAAAACAATTAAAGAATTTACAACCAACACTGTACATGTATATAGGTTTACGATTCAGCTCGGGACGCATGCAGTGTGACAATGTGCAGTTACTCACTTCGTGACAGGCTCTCCAGGGCTTTGCCAAGCTTTTTGCTCTCTTGCAAGATGTGGCTGAGCTCATCGAAATCCCGGCTCTCCCTCCAATCCCAGGACGGGTACTCAACTGATCGTGGCACTGGATCACAAACAACAAAATAAATGGGACAACTCTCAGCATAAATAGATGATGTAATTTTGCCCTATAATAAATAAAGAAACACTTAAAACTTACCATTAGAACCACATACTTTAGTGTTTCTTTGGGATAAACAAACTAATTTAAAATTAATCTAGTTTTTGTTTTTTTTTGTTTTTTGTTTTTTTTATTTTAGAAGTAAAAGTGTTGGATGCATTGGTATCCACTCCTCTCATCAATCTACAGTAGATCCCTCCCTCAACCCCAAATAAACTTTCCTATCAACTGTGCACAGGTTCCCTGTTCCTGTTGAATAAAATATTTTTTTGTTATGCTTTCCACCATACATGCATTTGCAAAACACGAAAAACTTCCCATGTTATACAGATACTCTGACAGCAGCATGATGGGAAATGGAGCACTGGCAGAGAAGTCTACTTCCAGAGGGAGAGAGCTGTCTGGTTTGAGGCCAGGTGACAGACGCTGTTACTGTCTTTGAGTTACAAAATAACTCAGAAAATGACCCACATACAGTACTGCAATGAGCTCTTGAACCCACAGCAATTTAAAGACGGTCTAATCATATTCTATTAATAAAGGGAAAGTGCAACAGTCTCACTCGCAGGTTTGTTTAATTAATCATTAAAATGCAACACACCAGAAATATATTCTGATAGTCTAATAACCTCTGATGCAAGTGGAAAGTCCTCCCTGTATTATTGTGTAAATAATAAAAACATTTAGTCCATGCTGTGCATCTGATAGCAGCCTTTAACAATCTGCTGTCCTCTGCTCTTGTTTACCCTGACTAAGCAGCTTGGCGTTAAAATTACTGTAAGCACAGAGCAAATGCTTCTGCCAAACGCGGGCAGGAGAAACAAATTTCATTAGCACTGGAAAAAAAAGTGGGCTGTTCCTTTCTGTGTTGGTCTGTTTCATAATGCTAAAACAAAGGGTTGTACTTTCTCTTACCAGCTTGCATCAGAGTAGTGAGTATGTGAATAAAACCTAATTGAGGCATTTACTGTTGCTGTAGTATTGCTACTCTTTTTTATTACCATACTTTACTGTTGTCTTCCCTTGCTTTGTCTGACATTTTTCCACACTTTTCCCAAACTCAGCTGTGGAGTTCTTAGTCTTTTGTGTTAATTTTCAAATATAAAACACAAGAACTAGATAAGCAAGGCTTTTATTATGGAGCACTGCAGTTAGAAAACAAGAAAGTAGGGAGGGATTGAAGGAAAGACGCAGCGGGTAAAAAGATAGAATAAATAATTATTAGGTACAACTCAAAGAATTTGTCTTCTAATACTTAGAGGTTTTCCGCTCTCTTTGTTTTCACAGCATATTCCACTCAGTGGCCCAGCGGATAGCACTGTTACCCTGAAGCAAGAAGGTTCTAAGTTCAATTCCCGGCCTGGGGTCTTTCTGCATGGAGTTTGCATGTTCTCCCTGAGCATGCATTGGTTCTCTCTGGGTACTCTGGCTTCCTCCCACAGTCCAAAAACATGACTATTATGTTAATTAGCTTCTCAAAATTCTTTTTTCACTGCAATGGACTGGCGCGCTGTCCAAGGTGCACCCCGCCTCTCGCCCGTAGACAGCTGCAGATAGGCACCAGCACCCCTCAGAACCCCACTTGGGATAAGCGTGACGTAAAACAGATGGAAGGATGATATCACAGTAAATAGGATGTCATCTAGCCAGTAATTTTTATTAAAGCGGTTTTGGTGCACCCAATGTTTGACACTTTCAATTTATTGAAAGCAAAAAAAATGTCTAAAGCTGTCCTTGTTAGGTAGAACAAACCTAAATTTTGTCCCACGTCTTTTGCTCAAGCCAAAACTAAAATCTAAACTAGATCCCTTCTTTGAATGAGACATACCTGCAAAACCTTTGCATTTTTAAATACCTTTGGCCCCATGAGTTTGTACTTATGACAAAAAGTTTGGACACAACTGCCGGGAAAGAAGGAAAGATAGAGAACAGAAAGAAGTGTAGGACAAAGAACAGTGAGAACAACGGGAAGGAAGTAAAAACACAATGAAAGGAAGGAAGCAATAGTAGAAAGGAGACAATAAAGAAAAAACAGAATAAAGGATACAACACTTAAACCATGAAATAGGCATTAAAGTCAGTTTTTCATCCTTTATTTTCCCTTTTTGTACTAATAGAAACCTAAAAAAAAAATGAAAATACTGCATGTGCCATCCTTTTCCTGGCTATGCAGGAACCTTCTTTTTATATAGTACTTATCATGAGCTCTGCATACACAAACACCTGTGAATGCTATCTCACTTGAGGCTTTAATATTGTTCATAGTGAGTATGTTTGCGGAGCTCTACACTTACAAATGTATCTCGGTGGGCCTCCTTTGTTGTCAATTTGCTGACTGCACTCGCTCCACTCATCTTCACATTTGTTTCCTCCGAACACAGACTAAAATAGACTTAGTCTGGCAGTGAAGGAGTGCAGTGTTGAATTATTGAGGCAGTGTGTGACTCTGCTGCCTCTCCCATTTGACCCGCCCCTACTGCCTCTAGCCTCAAGCTTTATTCGAAAGTCACAGCTATGGTCATTTATTTTCAAACTTGCTAAAAGAAAAAAGGAAGTACCCAAGTTTCTACATCTTATTCTGTATGGCAGGGGCTTTTGAATAATTCACTTCAGTGTGGAGCAGCAGGGAGGGAGAAAATGTATGAGGAGGCAGTTTATAATGAACTCATCTGCAGGGCTCCGGGAGGCTGGAAGGAGGGACACTGTGACTAACTTTAATTAGAGATAATTATATGAAATTAAAAGAGAGATGAAAGTCTATGGAGCATGTAATTGGGAAACAAGTGATACAACATGTTTTAAAAGGGTGCAGCTTCATAATCTACAGCAGAGTGAGCAAGTACCTGCAAAACAACCACTAAGCTAAACCTCTGATGATAATTTGAGGTAAACTTACAGGACTTGGATTCTGGTGAAGGTGGAGAGATGCTTGAAACCGCCAGGTCACTCTTTGACTTTTTAGGCTTCTTTGGAGTAATCTGCCATGGCTTTTCAAAGTTGCTGTACTCTCTCCGAGAGATTCTATTTTCTGTAAGGAAGGAAATTAACACATTCATTTAAATATTCCATAGCTAAAGGTCTAAAGTGGAAAGTTTTTCTGTGTTTAGACATGAATGAATACATATGTTTTAAAGTATTCTTTTAACCTTTTATTATTTTGTCATGTGACAAACTCAGGAAAAGTATCTATAACCCCTTCACCTAGACGATTTAGACAGCGCATGCCTGAAGTCAAAAAGGCTAAAACACTGGCGTACATTGAATAAGTTATGGGTCAGTTTTATATAAGTTATGAGAATGCTGAAGCACGCTGAAATACGCTGGCACACATCGACATACGGCAAGTACATCGTATGCCAGCGTATGCCATACATGGGGCATAAGTTATCTGATCGTTGACATACGATAAGTGTATCTAGGTTATGCAGAAACTTTGAGTAACTTGTGCATAAGTTATGCATCACTTATCAAGAACTTATCTCCAACGCGTATCATCGTATTTGATGTGTTCAAGACGACCCGCTGAACGTGTTTCTAACTTACAGCTACTGTTAAATGGCATATTGGCAGCATTTTTGTATAAGAGGGGGTTCACAGGAAAAAAAACGTCTGTTCTCCTCCATATTAAAGACGTTCCACAAGAGATGGAGGATCTGGCAATGCTGGGACAGGAATAGGTACTGGTTGTCCTCCAACATCAGCATGATCTCATCAGTTTGACGCTGTTCTAGTTGTAGGATGAGCGAGGAGGTGAGTGTGATGGATCCTCCCTGCGCTCACGGCCACGACCAACAAACCTCCTAGCAGACATGACGCTGAATCTGCTGCAACTGTAAACCATTCTTTCTTTTTTTGGCAGGCGGTAAACAGCAGCTAGGTTAATACCGCAATCAAATAAATCTTTTTATGCAGGATGGGCGTCTCTGGGCGTGTTGTTGCCCCCCTTAGGACACTGGCGTGTGACATTACATGGGCATTGCGCTGCCATGCGTTATGTATAAGTTAGGCTGTGATTGGACATGCGATCTGGACTTTTAATGAATTCTCTACGTTTATGCCCAAAATGGAAAAAAAAAAAAAACATAGTTCAGCGTATGCCAGCGTTTTAGACAGTTCTGGAATATCAGGCATACTCTGACTAAATTGTCAAGGTGTGACAGGGGCTTAAAAATGAAGGTGTGCATCTGTATCTGCATCAGCCCCTTTGCTCTGGTATAACAAGTCAAATCCAGCTCGAGTCATTACCTAAACAGAGTCCATCTGTGTGCAATTTAATGTAAGGATAAATCGAGCTGTTTTGTGAAGATGTCAGATGTTTGTTGATAACAGGGGGTTAAGCACACAGCCCATGTGCAGAGGCTTTAGTCTTTGACCAAGCTGTTAGTCCAGGCCTGATGACCTTTGCCACGTCTTCCCTCTCTCTCTAATTCAATTTCCTGTCAACCTTCTTTCAAAAAATGACAACAATAAAAGCTACCAAAGCCTAAAAAATAATCTTAAAAAGAAAATAAATACATGGAATAAGTTTAAAGCAAGGTCATGACTAAAGACATCCAAACACGGAAGGAGTATGGTATACATGTAAACATATTTTTACATTTTAGGTCAGAGGTTTTTATTAAAAAAGTTGCTTCTATCAGAAACCACTGATCTTCCTTTCATGACTGTATGAAGTTTCTGCAAATCTCACATCGTAAAAACACTTCTAGCTGTTAAAAGCGGACATGGAGCAATGGTGTAAACCCATTTTCTGTTTTATCACAGATTGTTTTGGGTCAGATTCAGACACTTTGCAAGTCACTCAATCAGCCTTCCTCTGAAATGATGTTTTTCTGAAGGGAGGTATTTTTGGTTAAAACGTATACTTTACTTCCAGCCTGAAACCCACCAACACTTTGTCACTCTGGATTGTTACTTTATTGAAACAACAATCAAAAGATATCAATGTGTCTGATTCTGACATCACAGTTTTCTGCCATCAGAAAAATAAAAAGGGAATAAACATGTTTTAAATCAATGCTCCATCACAGGGAATTTTTTCCGAAGTAAAAGTAGGAAATTTTATTCACTGCAGAATTTGTAACTAATACATTAAAGCTACAGTGTGTAATAATTACAGGGATATACAGTCAGAAATGTAATATATTATACATAACTATGTTATTTATCATCATCTACGAGCTCAGCCTCTTAACCTTAATATTTGCGTTGCCTTAGAATTCGTTATTTATAATTACATAGGAGCGGGTCTCGCAGCCATGGAGGCAGACATCTTTGCGCTACGGCAGCGCAGAGCCAACAAACTAGCGATTGCGAGATCGCCCATTACGCTCGAAAGTAACTACGGCAAGTTGAGAGAGATGAACTGAGAACACAGACTAATGAAATACTATCTGTAAAATTATCTATGTAAACAAACCTCATCACTTGAGAAGGTAGGTGATGCTGACGTCTTGGAATACATTTTGTCCCGTAACGCTCGCCGTACTGTTGGGGGGGAGAAGCGGTGGGGGGGAGATGTTCATGTTGTTGCGGTCTGCAGTCTGGACGTTAGATGTCGCTGAAAATTACACACTGTAGCTTTAAAAAGCCAAATTTCGGCAAAGCGGGCTAACGGTGAAGCTAAGAATCAATCCTGCTCTCCAAAGTCCGCTCACTGGATAACAAAATGGATCCTCTCTGGCTCGAACTCTTTTCAAAAAAGGGGATTAGTAACTGCTGCACCATCATTCTGACTGAGTCTTTGCTTCATTCATCTATACCAGAAAATGCTATAAGCCTGGATGTGCTAACGCTATACCGCAGAGATAGAAACAAAGAACTCAGTGGTAAGACTTGTGGTGGTGGGCTTTGTGTTTACATCAACAAGAGCTGATACACAATGCTAGATTGGTCGCCAGCTTCTCCAGACATCGAGTTTCTGACTGTTAACTGCAGACCGTTCTCTTTGCCCAGAGAGTTCACAGTGGTTAGCATTACTGCTGTTTATGTGCCTCCCAGCGCCAATACAAAAGAGGCCATGAAGTCTCTATACCAGACTATCTCTGAGCTTCAATCTGCACAAACAGAGGGCGTTTTCATCATTGCTGGGGATTTTAACCAGGCTAACTTGAAGACTAGGCCCCCTTATTTCTACCAGTTGTGGACGTTAAAAATCAGGTTGAAAACACTTTAGACCTGGATTACAGGGAGGAGGTGGAGCCGCTACTGGGCTGGGGCAGAGACAACAAACTGATCCTTAATGTGGAGAAAATTATCTTCGTTGACTTTAAGGAAAATCGGCCTAACCATGCTCCACTGGTCAACAGCAAGGATTTCCTAGGGGTGCACATCACAGACACCTTTACCTGGACTGAAAACACCACCTTACTGGTAGAAAGGGCACAAAAGCGCATGTACTTCTTGCGGAGGATGAGGGGAGCCCACCTGCCCCCACCCATCCTCACCACCTTCTACAGAAGTACCATAGAGAGCATTCTGACCAGCTGTCTCACTGAATGGTGTGGAGGCTGCAGCGCCTCAGACTGGAAGAAGGCGAGATGAGTACTGAGAACAGCAGAGAAGATCAACTGCGCTCCTTTTCCCACCATAAATGACATTTCATCCCGCACACCGTAACATCATCAATGACCCCTCACACCCCACCATGGCCTGTTCTTCCTGCTGCCCTCTGGGAAGAGGCTTTGCAGCGTTCAATGCAGGTCCAGCAGATACCATAACAGCTTCTTCCCCACTGCCATCAGACAGCTGAACGTTGAAAAAACTCTAAATCATGTCACAGGCTGCATCAAACTGACCATATCAATGCTTTTTTTTTGCATCACGTTTTTGTCTCCCACAATGTTTACATTTGATCACTGCTGCACTTTAAGAAAATCGAAATGTCATGATTTTGTTCTGTATACACTCTGTATACAAAATGAAAATAAATTTTGCCTGAGTCAAAAGTGAAAGTGAAGTAAAATGGTCATATTTCTTGGTCATTGTTTATAAACACTTCAGGCAGACAGTGGGTTGCACTAAAATGGCACCAATATGGTAAAATGGTGCATTGTGGTTCGTTTGCAGGAATACTGTGACATCTGGCATCAGTTTGCACTATCTTGAGCAGATGTAACATCTTAATGTTTAATGTAACATCTCCAGGCAAACTGGAGATGTTATATTAAAGGGCCTGGTAGGTAGATATTGAAGGTAGATATTATTCCCATGCATTTTAGTGCCTCTAATGTGATGATGAGCGATGATGTTACGTTTTATGGGGTAGAGAAGAAAAAAAACATTTACATGAATGCCAACAACAAAAGCATAATAAAAACACTTAAAAGAAATATTAAAAAAAAAAAATAATGTAATGTACAGTTCTACTTTTTGTACATAAATTTTGCCTTTCTGAGGCTTTGTGAAGGCAAATCTGTGTTTTGCATGGTCCCATATTGTGTCACAAACTGAAATTTTTGAGAATGTGTTTAAGAGCAACTATGCAAAATAACAAACATCTAGAAAAAGTACACAATATTATATTATTTTCCATGTGAATTCCAGAATTTTCATTCTTCTTTGACTTTTCTAAAAAGTGCTTTAAACCAGTCCTACTTGTCTTTTTCCATGCTGGGTCAGATCCTGATGTTTAAAAAAGAAGGCAGGGAAGGCAGATTACAGCAATTGTCTCACTCCATGCAGTTAGACAAGAGTTGTAGGTAAACCAGGTCCTGGAAAAAGATGTTTCTTGCACCATTTCTCTCTCTCTCTCCAATGCATTTATTACTCCCGCAACTTGACTTGTCAATCACCCGCACAACGTCTGCACTGTAGCGGAAGGGCAAATACACTTCCTGTCAGCTCGGGGCGCAGCTCTGGTGCGCCCTGAGCTCTCCTATACCTTAGTATTACAGAGGAGCTACTGCGCATGTACGTTTAATGAGAGTCAATGGGCAAAGATTGTTGCAGGGCGGAAATATGTCACCAATCCGACAAAAAATAAAATTATACTTTACTTGTTATTAAAGATTAAATATTTATCTTGCACATATGAAAAATATATAGCAATATATTTTTTTTATATATTTTTTTATAACATATATATATATATATATTTTTTTTTTTATGTCTTAATCAGGGTCATTGGGTGGGTGGGGCGGCCCCCTATTGACCAGCAGCCACTGGTTTCTGTAGACTCATTTCAGCAGAATTTTGACAGTTTATAATGTAAAGGCCCATTACGCCAAAAAGGCCTGGTGAAAAAACTGGAACGTCTGGCATAGGTCCAAGTTTCAACACCAGATGGTGTTTAGAGTTTTCTTACTAACCAACAATTGACCTGTTATTTTTATGCACATTTTTCAAGTATCATATTGGAGAAGGTTGATGGAAATTAAAAAGTCAAATGAACTTACTAACTTTTGCAAGAATGTTTTTACACTTGCTTGAGGTAGTTTTTCACCTTCATCTGCACAAATAAGAGTAAAAAAATCTATAGAAGAGATAAAACTTTTGTTGAACATGCTCCACTGTCCTGAATGCAAGCATTAGAGTTGCATTTTATTCTCAAACGTCTTAGGCTAGCATCGCTAATAGTAGCAGACATTATAAAAAAGGAAAACTTGTCCAGTTGAAACACATTTATTAAAATCTAACTCAGTTTATTGATCTTTGAAATGTGCTAGTGTGTGACCTCTACTTTCTACAGTATTAATTACATTCAAATGTAACGCCAAAGTTTTTTCTTTTTTTTCCACAATTATAACTGCTCAAAATTCACATGATGGAAACACAGCTTTTGAAATCCAGTATGACTGATCCAAGTACGATTTAACCTTTATTGGTAAACATTTCTACACTTGTAAAATGCTGAGCAATTCTCTCTTATATTTGGTTGCTAACAGAGAATGAACAGAGCATTAAACAAATCCTGATGGTTTGCATCTAAACCATGGTTCAGTTGCTTTCCTTCCTATTTGAAAGTTCCTGTTCATGAGTTCAAGGTAACAGCATTAGCCACATGTATATGCAGGTGTCCTTTTATGTGTGTCTTACCAACCTGGGGAGCTCTGCGCCCACAGAGCTGCTGATCCAGAGAAAGCTCTGTGCAATTTGCTGGGGCTGTCTTGCTTGGTCTGCAGATGATCAATGAGAAACGGGATTGGATGATCTGGAGTCTCTGTTATCAGTTTGGTCATCAACTCCTACAGGAGCAGAGAGAAACATCTGATAAACGCTTCAGAGGAAAGAAGCATGTGGCCATGGAGAATCGCCAGGATGAATTGGAGAAACAATCCAGCATCTCAGCGGATATTTATTGCTATGAGGAGGTGCCAGAGGGGTTAGTTTTTGGTGAATATTTACTAATTTATTGCAATCCGTGCCAAGGTCTTTAAAACCAAAAAGTCAAGGCAAACGATATTCCCCTTTGTACCAATTAAATAGCAGCAAACACACGTGTTTAGATCTATCTTTGCACAAGTAAACAGAAAAAAAAGCACCACTGGGATAATCACTGGTTCTCTGAGACCACGTTTTGTTTCTTCACCATCTGCTGCACTGACTCTCATATAAATGTTGCAAAGCCTCTGATTTTTCACAAAGCTTGGCTTGGTAACAAAACATTACATTTAAAGATATATATATGTACGTGTTTGACATTATGTTTGATTGTGTTGTTTTTTTAACACCACACCAACTATCCAAACTCTGCACTACAACCAGTGGCATCAAGCTCAGAGCAAGGCACCAAGCTGCCTATTGGTGTTCGAATGTGTACACGATGTGCTAAATGTACAGAGCTTTGATCAGTTATTATAACTAGAGAACTTCATAAATTCAGTATTTACCTTTTTGGTTCAAAGTGCTCCTCAGTTAAAACTGACCAAAGCATCCCCAGAGCATGGGGTCTTGCATGTAGGTCAACAGTTCAGTTTTTTTCCAATCTGAACAGACAACCTTCTCCTTCACGTTAACTTTGTCCCTTACGTTACTTTTTTTACTTAAAATATCAATTCTTGGTTTTCTTTCACACTACTCTTTTTTTGTAAATAATGATTTGTGGAATATCTAACAGTTATATCATGAACATACTCTTACACCAGAGCTGCAGTTCTTTGTATGCCAAAAACCCAGGATGTTGCTCTATAACATATATATGTTATTCCATTACTGCTGCTGAGAGAATGGCTCTGCGGGGGGTGGTTAAGGCTCTACAGAAGACTGAAGAGATCAGCCTTCATGACAGACTCCATCATTCCTGTATGCAGATTGTTGCAGCATCTCCCCTCAGGCAGGTAGAGAAAGACCACCAGATACAGAAACAATTTTTGACCTGCAGCTGTTAAACTGCCACAATTAATTCAGCTTCATCTATTTCTTTACTAAAATATTGAGCTTATTGAACTGGAACCCAAGTCCTCAATTGCCTCAATCATATAAATGTGAAATTGTATACTGATAAAAAAATTAACCATGATCCTTGATTCGTACTTGGTGCTAATTCAGAAAACTGATCATAGATTAAGCTCGCACTTAATCATTTAGGCTAACTGTATCAACAATATTGATGTAGATGATGCAAGTGATTTAAGGAGACGTCTGCAGATAAGGCTAAATTATAAAGCACACATCCAGAAATTAGAGGATGAGTTTCTCTTAAAATGCCATGTGACTAAACTGTTACTTCACCAAAATCGAAATGCCTGTGAGTTTTCATGTTGTCTGGAGTTACCAAATGAGTGGATGAAGCACCTTCTGTGGCAGCTATCAACTGGTGATCCAAATGTAGCTGTCTTACCAAAGCGAGAGCTGATTTCAACTGTGCAGCTGTGTTTGGATGGGTTTTTTGATGTGTTCAGGGACCAGAAATCTGAAGTAAAAGCTAAATGTGAAGGGAAACAGTGAGAGAAGGTACAGGGACCAGAGGGGTCGCCAAAAAGTTTTTTAAGTGTTTGAAGGAAAGTTATTTCTAATCACATTTATGAAGTTTTAAAAGCTCCATTTAGAAATGAGATCTGAAGATACATTTGTAAAGATTTTATTTAATAGAAATGTGCATATACAAAGTGCTTTTCAACATGCATCTCTAAGTGTATGATTTAAATCCTACATTTAATATGTTGGTTTATATTTTAAGTGACTCTCTTGGTCCTCCATAATATTTCAGGTTATATTATGCCACATTTTACAATAGGGCGTAATAATAAGGGCGTTTTAATTGTGATTAATCGATTATTGAAATGTTCACCAAGTAATTTAGTTATTAATTAATCGTTAACTGGAGGATAAAAACTCTAAAACATGAATTTAGCTGACAGCGCAATCAAACGATTATACCATAATTGTAAATAGAAAACGTAAAAATTTTGCATTTACATTTTGTAAACATTTTTTAAGATAAAAATCTTTTTTTTCTTTTAATTTGCTCTACCCAGAACTCAAGTGGAAAATTTTAAGTTTCACCTTGTTTAATTTTGCAAAAATGTTGTTTAAGGAACCTTTGGCTAACCGATTATTAATCGATTAATTTTAAGAAATAATCAATAGATTAATCAATTTGCAAAATAATCGTTAGTTGCAGCCTGACTTTTCAGATTTCCATGAAACATTCAAAACATTGTATTATTTCGTTTTTGCTTCTTCATGTAATAGTAATAATAGTTGCAGCATAAAATCTCAATAAATGCAAAAAGCCAACACTTCAAGGGTCATGGATGTTTTCATTGTGACACTACAATTACTAGACATCCTCATTAAAATCAATGATTATAACTATAATATGTAAAAGCTGTCACAAAGAAGAACATTTTAGAGAGTAGAGAAGTGGAGATCACATAGGGAGTCTCAGTGGCAGGTGCTGAGGGAGGAGACCCCCCTCTTACCCTGCAAGCTAATTAGAAACCGATCAAAGTCATGATGGGAATTTGGAACCAAATGAGCAATCCTCTCCAAACTAATCACACCAAGTCACTGTAATGTGCCTCTTCATAGACAGAGGAAGCTAGAAATTACCAAAATTGCATAATGCGCATGGTATAATGTTAGCAATATGTAAAAAAAAAAAGAAAAAAAAAAAGAAAAAAGAAAATGTAGAGAGCTATTGATCATTAATGATTTCTGGTTTTATCCGTAGATGAAATCCCATTACAGATTTCAACCAATCCTTCAATGCCTGTTAGAATAATAATTTAAAAAGATAAAAGTTTCACCTTGAACAAGATTATTCTGTCTTACCTGATATTAGTACAATTTAATTACTTATAATAGCAGAAGTAACATCATGGTGCTGTGTTAAAGACCTTGGCCCATTGTCACAAATAATCTTAAGACTAATAATTTAAATTCAGTTTATTTCTATAGCGCCAATTCACAACACCTGTCATCTCAAGGCACTTTACAGTTCACCATATCATACAGTCAGATTGTTTCAAAGTTTTCTATCTAAGGAAACCAGTTGATTGCATCGACTCATTGACTCGGACACAATCCCTCATACTAAGCATGCATGTAGCGACAGTGGAGAGGAAAAACTCCCTTTTAACAGGAAGAAACCTCCAGCAGAACCAGACTCAGTGTGAGCGGCCATCTGCCGAGGCCGACTGGGGTTCAAGGAGACAGAAGCAGAGATACAAAAGCAGCTGTAAAAGGCGGCCCCGTCCAGGAAACACACAGCCAGGCAGACAAGTTCTGAGCCAGCTCCTATGTCAGAGGATGAAGAGACCACATCCAGCCAGTCACGGTCAGAGAAACAAGACTACACTGAAAAAACAGGCTGATCTCCAACATCTATAAACAAAAGTGTTGATGGCACTGATCGTAGAACTTAGTAACGTTTTACATTTTACTGAATTCTAAGATTTTTCTTGCAATTTTACCCCTGTGGAATAAAAGCTATTTATAAAGTAACTTAGACCTCTTGAGAGCTCCTAAAGTACAAACATGTTGGAAATAGTAAGGCTAGCCTAAGCAGCTCCCAAGCTCAGAAGATGACTAAAACAGAGAGAGCAGTTTGGCTGATCCTCCACCAAACAGTGGAATAAGTAATTACATAAATTAATTTAACAGTTTTACAATAAATAGTATGGAATCAGTTAATTGTCCTCATCTCCATAGGGGGAAACTACTTAGTTTAGCAGTCAGATAGATTAAAGGTGCTTTAAGAAATGTCATTTGAGTGACGTAGTGATGTAGGAAAAATGGGAAAAAGAAAAATGTAAATCAATATTATCTACAGAGAGTAAAATACTCTTAATTAATAAACATTTAAAATACTGAATATATAAATAATTACTTGCCCTAGAGAAGCTGTAGTACAATATAGAGAGGTGTCAAGTGACAGAGTACAAATACTTTGTTACCTTACTTCAGTAGAAATTATTTACTGGTGTACTATATTTACTGGTGTATTATTATTATTATTTATTTAGGAAACTTTTTACGTCTACTCCTGACATTTTTTAGCAATTATCTCTACTTTCTACACCTTACATTTTAAAAATAGACTCATTGCTTTTGTTTCATGTACTGTAAGCTTATTTTCGTTATGGCCTGTTGGTATTTAAAAAAATAAATAAAAACCAACAAAATAATTTGTTTCATCCAGACAATTAAATTCTTTGTGGTTGGACTCGGTGCTGCCCCATCTTGTTGTTCACCACATACCAAAATAATACATTTTTCAAGATGATGCAAAGTAAAAAAAAACGTCACATTGTTGCCATTAGTTATAAAATTAATAAAATTAAGAAGAAGTAAGTTATCATCCTGAATTGTAGAACTTGTTCCTTTAATAGGCTACTGCAATAAAGCATCTGTCCTTAAGTTTTACTTTACTTTTACTTTTATAATTAAGTAGTTTTTAAAAAATGGTACTTTCACACTTTTTCTTTAGTAAAAAGCTTGATTTGATGCTCTGACTTATACAAAAGTGTTTTGAAACGTAGGATTTATACTTCCACTTGAGTAATAAACATGAATAATTTTGACACCTCTGACAATATACATATGCACAAAAGGAAGATGTATATGAGAAAGTATTTTTGTATTATACTTATGACATCAGTATCAGTAGCCTGAATGCTCATCCCGAATTCTGTTTCCCTCCTGACACTGATCCAGGGACTATATTCACCTTCAAGCAATCCCCCCTAAGCTGTAGAAGACAGGGGTTGCTGCTCCGTCCAACTGTTTCTCTAGCTTTTTT